ATTGCAGCCAAAAGCTGAATTACGCTAAGAATTACATATAGTTTAAAATTAGAATAACTATTAAAAATTTTAAAAGTTTGGAGCCAAAAGGCAATGTGCGTATAAGTTGACTATAATTGTCTACTACTATAACTAGGTGCGCATTTTCAGTGCATTGTGAGTTATAAAACTATTCCTAAATCGGTCTGTTTTAAAAAGCTGATTTTTAAAAAGTTGTTTCTTCCTAAGCTTAATTTGGCATTCATTTACAGGTGGTAAAAGTTTGTTCAATTTGTGACTTGGGTCGCTAATAATTTGCTGGAATAGTTTGTCCGTTAGTTGCTGTCTTCGTGCTTCTAGAGGGACCAACTCAGCAACGGAGAGAGATTCGTCATATGATAAGGCTGGAAATATTATCCGCATCGCGCGTTTCTGTATTCTTTCGATGTCTTTAACAAGGTAATTTGGCAGGCTATCGTGAAATACTGGGCAGCCATACTCTGTAACAGGTCTTATACAAGTACAGTAAAAGATAATAAGTTCCTTACTGCCCACGTTCGAACGTTTTAGTTGGCTCAGAAAATACAAACGCTTATTCGCTTTCTTCATAATAACAGATATATGGCTATTCCACTTAAGATCGTTAGATATCTGCATGCCAAGGAGTTTTACACTTTCAACGACCTCCAGTTGCTTATTGTTGATGGTAATAGGATCGAAATCGGGAGGAGATTTACTGAAGCTAATACGTAACTCTTTACACTTGGACTCGTTTAGCGTAAGTTTATCAATAGAAATATGTCGTGTAAGTTCATCAACTTTCTCCTGTATGTTGGATTCGTTGTTTCTTTCAACAATTTCAGACATCGTTGTGTCATCGACGTATTTCCAGAGTTCCGAATCTTGGATTTTCAAATCATTTATCATGATAACGAATAACCACGGCCCGAGTTTGGTACCCTGGGGAACCCCAGATGGAATAGTTCCCCATTCAGAATAGCAGTCGTTACCAAGTTTGACACGTTGTTTGCGACAAGTAAGAAAGTCAATAACCCACAAAACAATGCTTTCAGGAATATCATACGATTTTAGTTTGTCTACAAGTATATGGTGATCGATCAAGTCGAAAGCTTTCTTAAAGTCAACTAATACTGTCCTGACAGTTGCGCCACTACCGTCAGTTGCTTTATTCCACGAATGCAGCATGCTGATCAGGGCCTGGGTGGTGTTACTACCAGGTATCGTCCCAAATTGACCATTTGCGTAATAGACTAAATTTTGAACTAAACAAGTCTAGACAAAAATTTCATCACAGCTTGAAGGAGCATCACAAAATTAGTAATATTCCAAAGTTTCGTTGCAAAATGTTGTAAAATGCGGAAAATATAGCCTTGCGAAATTTGCAATTTTCAGTCATTTTAGATTACAAACGGGAAATTGACGACAGCCCCAAACCCTTCGAGGCTGTCAATTTCCGGTTTGTAATCTAAAATGACTGAAAATTGCAAATTTCGCAAGGCTATATTTTCCGCATTTTACAACATCTTGTAACGAAACTTTGGAATATTACTAATTTTGTGATGCTCTTTCAAGCTGTAATGAAATTTTTGTTGAGATCAAAATTTAGTCTATTACGCAAATGGTCAATTGATTTGGATCCACCTTCTTCAGAACTGCAGGCTTTACAAATTCTTCTACAACAAAGTCTTCCGCAACTTTCGAGAGGATAGATGTCAAAGATATAGGACGAAGATGGCTATTTACGTCAAGAATTTGCTTTTGTTTTGGGATTGGTGAAATATTGGCCAATTTCCACGATGATGGGAGTCGAGCTTCCAAAAAGGAACGGTTTAATATATTTGATACTGGGGCAGCAAATATGTCGGCATTGTCTTTTAAGAGCCAACTCGGTATACCGTCGGGTCCGCTTGCTTTAGTTGGATTTAACGTAGACAGTTTCTTGTAAACAGAAAACTCGGACACTTGGAGGCAGCAGCATTCGAACATTGGGCTGTTTGGTACAAATTCTTCGGTTTGTAAAGGTGTAAAATGACTCATAGGGGCAAGGAATGCCTCATTGATAACATTGGCAAGGACAGTATTGCTGACAGTTCCCTCTCCTTGATCACGACCAATATGCTGTAGCGTAGAGACTAGGTCTGTCTGGGATGAGTTGACAGTTGTCATTCCACTTAACTTTTTCACTTCTTTCCACCACGATGCAGGTTTGCACTCCATCAAATGCTCGACTTTAGACTTGTAATACTTAGCACGGCATATTTTTCGCTCACGATTTACTCGATTTCTCAGTGTGCGAAATAGAACTTCGTCTCCCTGGTCTAAAGCTTTCTGGCGCTTGCGAATCAAACATTTGAGAGACTGATTGATCCAGGGTGGCTCGCTTGTTACAATGGTCTTAGACTTTAGAGGAAGTAACCTGTCCATCCCGGTATTAATGATTAATTCCAGGAGCTTTACTTTGTCTTCACACGACCTCTGACTGTTAATTAGTGTTGAAATGTCAACTTCCTTTAGATACAAACGCATTGCAAGGCGCTTCGAAGGCCGAATGTCCCTTGACTTCACGGTGATCTTGGGTTTAGGTAGATTGGTTCGCTCTAGAGGTTTAACTTCAATAGAAGCATGGTCAGACAAACCAAACGGGGACATCTTAATTGGAGGGCTATAAAACCTCTTTAGATTGGTATAAATTTTGTCCAAAGTGTTACTACCACGCGTTGGAAAATTGACTATTTGTTTAAGTTTATAGAAGTTGCAGAGTCGCGAGCCGTTTAATTGATTAAAATCACCGAGGAGGATTATACCACAGCCTGGGAAACTAGCTTCAATAGAAGATAAACTATTGTACAAGTAATCTAGCATAAGGAAATCCATAGAGCTCGGCGGATGGTAAACGGTACCAATTACAATACTGGAGATGCCCCTTGGGAGTCGTTGAGGGCTTATTTGTGTCCATAAAACTTGAATTGAATTGAATTGATTTAATGACTACTGACTTTGTAACCCAAAAAGGTTAAATTACACCAGTATTACATAAATTAAGAGGATAAGTTAAAATTACATAATAATTACATATTTAAGATTATTTACATTTCTAAAAACTTATTTACTGTTAATCTTTAATATACTTTGAGGTATAAACGAATTCTTAAAACGTTCGGTTCTGCAAACATAATTATGATATTTACATATCGGTCTTAGATCATATCCAGATAAAACTGTTTGTGGTAAAAGATCTTTGAGATTTTCATTGTCAATATTCTTCTCAAAGAAATGTTCGCATAATTTTTCTCGTCGATCTCTCAGTGACGTGATGTTAGTCGTGATCAGCGCTTCGTCGTACTTTTGCGATGGGAGGATTATTCTCAACGCGCGTTTTTGTATTTTTTCAATATCGTCACATAAATATTGTTGGATATTGTAATGCCAGACCTGGCATGCGTACTCTAAAACAGGCCTAATAATGGTAGTATATACAGTAATTAACGTGTCAATACACGCGTTGGACCTTTTTAGCAGTCTTAGCATATAGAGCCTCTTGCTAGCTTTTTTAACTATGTTATTTATATGTTCATTCCACTTCATGTTATCTTGGACTGTGAGGCCAAGGATACGGGCAGATTTCTCTCGTTCAATATTAACTTTATCGACTGTTAAAAGGGGAAAGCAATGCTTCTTTTTTGCAAAATCAATAACCAGTTCTTTGCATTTTCCAATGTTTAATTTCATATTATTACTCGTAGTCCAATTATTGATGTAATTAACCAGTTCTTGAAGGTTGCTGTTACAATCTGGGCCAATGGTTTCGGTAGTGGTGGTGTCGTCAACGTATTTCCATCGGTCTTTCCAATCAGCGAGGAGATCGTTTATCATGATTAGGAAGAGGATTGGGCCTAAACCAGTTCCCTGGGGTACTCCACCGTTGAGGATTTGCCATTCTGACACACAATGGGGCATTCTGACCCGTTGGCTTCGTTGAGTAAGAAAACTTCTTATCCAGTTTGTTATTAATGATGGAACGTCCATATCAGATAATTTACTGAGGAGGATGTTATGATCGATATGGTCAAAAGCTTTGGAGAAGTCTAATAAAAAAATTCTCACAGCGTTTTTCGGCACATCAGTTTCGTTTAATAAGTGATGGAGAAGGCTCAATAATGCATGTGTTGTTGAAGAGTTTTTTAGAGATCCAAATTGCCGTTTATCGATCTTCTCACCAATCAACTCCATCAGCCAGTCTGCGACAAAACGTTCACACGTTTTTGACAAAGTGGCAGTAAGCGAGATGGGACGCAAGTCTTTAGTAATGTCCCTCAGCACCTTATTTTTAGGTACAGGGATGACGTCGGCTTTTTTCCATACCCCGGGAACAAACGCCTGTTGAAGGGAGGCGTTGAAGATTGAAGTAACAGGGGAAGACAGCAGGGGCGCATAATCTTTTAGGACCCAATTCGGTATTTCATCTGGACCAGCTGCTTTCGAGGATGATATTGAAGATAATTTATAATAAATGTCTTCTTCCCTAATAATGTACTCGGTTGGAATTGTAGTACAATCGCTTTGTAATTGGCTATCGGGGAAAGGGATAGGACTAAGGGGAGGAATATCTCGAGTAACGGATACGAAAGCCTCGTTAATTTTTTCAGCAAGTTGCTTTCCAGAGACGACTTGCTCTCCTAGGACAATACTTGAAAAAGATTTCTTCTTAGGGTAGCCAGCTATTTGTTTTACGGTGTCCCACCATTTCTTAGGATCAGGGTTACTTTTCAATTGTTTCAATTTATGTTCTAAGAATGCAGATTTAAGGTACTTACTTTCTCGATTGGCACGATTACGTAGTCGCCGGTACAATTTGTCATTTTTCTGAAAAAATGCCTTCTGTCTGTTTTTAATAAGTTCCTTGTATGAAGGTGTTATCCAAGGCTTATCTCGGTCGTGCATTTTAACTACTTTACATGGAAGGAAGTGGTCTAAGCCGGTATGAATAACATCCTGAAAAATTTCCAGTTTTTGTTCGCACGGTGCAGTACGATACAGGTTAGTCCAATTATAGGTCGTTAGCCATCTTCCAAATGCAACTTTGGCACCTCTGTTACCGGGTCTAATGTTTATTTTCTTGCATCCGTTCAATGATCGGATCCGTTCAACTTCAAAGTTAGGATGCATATATTCGTCTAGAACTTTGAATTTTATAGAATCCTTAACATACATGCAAACACCACCATGCAGACCCGCGACTCTATCACGCCGAATCACATTAAATCCAGAAATTGCGATGATGTTGTCAGCGATGTGTTCGCGAAGCCATGTCTCAGTTATGCATACGAAATCTAAGTATGCATGATTAATTACTTCACGGATTTCGTCGATTTTCGGAGCTAAGGACATGACATTTGATAGCATAAAAGATGGAACAAATACATAAGCAGATCCTGCAGGTTTCTGTTGAGGTTTTGTAGGAATATAAATACAGTTTGAAGAATTGTGATATGATAGAGGCTTCAACAAGTTAAGGGAATGCAGCCGGTTATGGTTGGGCAATCGTGGCGAGATAACGTCAATACGACGCGGCTTTACAACAGACAAATATGGTCTTTCATTCGATTTAGAACCTTCTATATAATTCAAACATTTTCCTCCTCGCTTTCCCCGCAGCTTTCGGATTAAACCATTTGATTTCAATGACTCCCAAGTGATGTTATTAAGTGGCTTCGACTCTGTAGGTTGCCTTCGAATGTGACACAATGTAGATTGAAGTTCAGGCAAACACGATTTCCACCAAAAACGAAGCGAAAATAAAAAGCTTCTTGAATACGTAACCTGCATTGTAGCAGCCGAACTCATAACGCCACAGTTTATAATAAGGTTCTGGTATAACAGTCCAAAAAGATCAAATTTTGGAGAGCAAATTTTAAGCAGCCGTACGGCGCTGTGATACATGTGTTCCAATAAGTCTTTATCACATATAATCAGTCACGTCATCAAGGTTGGGCTTAATGTAATTGTTCTTAAGTACCTGTGTGGCTTGTGTAATCCTTAGTCACTGTGAAGTAAACGTAACTCGAGCAATACTTCTCTGCAATGATGTTCCTGTTTTTATTATTAGAAAAGCGCAAACTTATGCAAATTACGTAACCTCGAAAAACAACCATTCTAAATATAGTAATGACGCCGTACAATATAGTAATGATGTACATATTACAAAACGGTTATACGCATTGATTACATCACGCCAAACGCCCAAACTACGGGCACTTGACTCTGTAATCGTAAAGTTAACTTCTGTTTTATAGAAGTGTAACTCACCGAGCATGATATAGACAATCTTTGCCAAAAACTATGAGACAAATAGTGAAAGTTCATATAACTTCTTCTGTCCATTTCCCCCCGCGCCCCCCGTTCAATGTTGATGTCACAAAAAATGGATACATCGCAAACGAGACGTCATCTGGCATCAACGCAACATTGAAAAGGGAGGGGGGAGGGAGGGATGAATATTCACGTGGAAAAGTTGTACAATGTCTATATAACGTTTTTGAAACGACATTGTCCCATAGTATATTGTCAAAGATTGTAGGTATTATTTTGAGCTTTTCAAGCTTTTGTCGCAGTGAAATTGTTTTTTAAATATTTTAATAGAACAAACTACACTCTCGAAAGTGATATATGTTGTCAATTCTCCCAATATGTTGCGAAATAAGTTTAAAATTCCCGTCGAACTGACCCTACCTTAAGACAGATTTCGTGTTTCTATGGCGACTGCTTACGACAAAATATACAATGAAGGGTCCCCTAGGAAAGGCAAAGTGAAATAACACATTTTCACTTTTATTCTCCCCCTTAGTAGTGTATATATTCCGTGTAAATTCAACAAAACCGGAAATTTCGCCATATTTTCGTCGAATAATCGCGATAACTTTGTTAAATCTCATTCTCGGAAGAAAAACTAAAATCAAAGTTGGAAATCATCTTATTTTGTTTCATTTAAACTGGGATCAAGCTCAGGAAATAGGTAAGGAACTTCGTTCGAAATCGTGTTTCATTTGCATATTTATTGCAATATGCGTTCGCCATATTGGATTCCTTCGTCTCGAAGTATATCGTTAATTTTCATTTATTTATAATGTGTATTGATATTTACAGCCCATTATCTACATGCAGAAATGGTAAAAGGTGTAATAAGAGTTCAAATCATACAGGAAAATGTAATTCTGAAAAGCAGTCTCACAAATTCTGGGTGAATTCTCCTGTATACAATCTCAAGGCAAGTCGAGCAGAAGTGATCAGTCAGAGGAAGGAAATTCAATGTTGGGAAGCAAATTTAAACCAGGCCGACTATCAAATTTCGTCCAAAAGTCAGGAACTAGAAGAGCTTGCAAAATATACAGAGGAACAGGCATCTACAACCAGTTAGTGAAATTATTTTCAGTTAATATGAGGTTTAATTGTATGTATTATTATAATACTTGTATATGACTGTAATAATATTAGATAGTCTATTCAAGGTCTTAAGGTCGTGCCAGATGGTGTTTGCAGGGAACCAGACGGTTCAGGACCTCAGACAATTGGAAGAAGAAATTGTACTATTCCCTATTATGATTGTATTATCATTGAACCAGACAGGCCGTCATATATTAAACAATACCAATGACCTAGATTGAACATGATACTGTTGTTAAAAGCTATTTACTATTATGGATTGACTCTTGAAATTACAGCTAATTTCAACACTAATATTTTGTCCATTGATCCAAGGCTTTATGTATTTACATATACAGCTCATTTGCAGATCAGTGAGTGGTTCATTGGCATGCACTCGTGTGCATACTAATTCAAACTGATTTACAGTGCAGTGTTCCACATAAATATGATATTGATTAATATTGATGTGGCATGAGCACAAAATTCGTGTTGACACTGAATTCAGGTATATTATTAATGTAACTGATACCTGCGAAAGATTTCGTAAGGTGTATTTATTATGAAAAATATAAAATAACTCTCAATATTTCGAGCATGCCCAAATATTGCAGAATATAGCCTACACTTTATGTCTATTGTGTAAATAGTGTGTATATATACAGAATAGGTTGTATATTGTGTATATGTATACACTATAGACATGTAGGATATATTGTGCATATTCTGCAGCCTATATACATATTCACAATAGACAATGTATTGTCAAAATTGTATGGGTGTATATATAGTGAGTGAGTGAATGTCAAAGAATATATAGTGTAGGCTATATTGTGTATTGTATACAGGGTGTATCAAAAAAAGCGCAATCCTCGACTGAAATGTAAATTGCTAAACAAATAATAGACGAAAACGTTAAAGTTTACATTCATTTTAAAGCGTAGCCATTCAGCTTTCTAACAGTGGGTTGTTTCTTAAATTTGACTCATTGGTTCGCGGGTAATAATACTTTACGTTATTGCGATTGGAGATTAAAAAAATTGAGATGGAATAACAAATCGTTCTCATGAAAATAACTGATTTTTTCATTAAAACAAAAAAATGTTGCATTTTATTAAATGGATTGTAACAATAAGTATAATTACGGCTTTTCTTCCACTATTTTTAACTCAGTTTGAAACTTCAAATGCGATATAATTTTGGCTTGGACCATCTAAGCTGACTGACATCAACTTGCTATAATTTCTGTTTACATTACATCGTAATTCGATGACACTCTGGCTCAGACACCAGAATGTTTTGACGATTTTAGCATTCGTTTAGGATTTTCAAACAACCTGGTCTCTTTTAAAATACTTTTAATTTGTTCTTACGTGGTTTTCCAGATGTATAGTGACGACAACATTAAAGTTTAAAGAAGAAAATTCTAACATTTAAACCGACTAAACAATAACATAGTAAACGTGCATAATTAAACAGCAACTAAAAATGATAGGTTTTACTAAATATTTTCCTGTGCAATTATTACTAGCATTGGAGACAAGGATAATAGTTTGTTTGAAAGAGAAAAGAACAGGCTTTGAAGTAAGCCTAAAAGCGTTTAACTAGAAATAGTATTTCGAAAGTTATTAAGCACAAAAGATGAATTGTGTTTATTTTGATA